GCCTTGTTATCATCTCATTCACTTGCAGCTGTGGAATCACAGAACTGTAGGGTTGGAAGGTATCCACAGTGGTCATCGAGTTCAACCTTCTGATAGTCAGGAATCACAAGTTTGGAGTGGGAAAATGGGGAACTGAAAGAAATAGAAACTGACAATCCACCCGTCCCTAGAAACATCCAGTTTTCAGCAATCTCAGCCTCGGAGACAAATAGTGCAGAGCAGCATAATTCCCTGTTTGGCCTCTTAGCTACTTTGTCACGGCTGGCGTGATCATTAGGCCAGCTAGGCAGCTGCCTAGGGCACAGACCTCAGAGGAATACAATACTGACCTTTGAGGGTCACAGATTAGTTTTTGTTACAGTGGTACCTCGGGTTAAGAACTTAATTCGTTCCGGAGGTCCGTTCTTAAGCTGAAACTGTTCTTAACCTGAAGCACTACTTTAGCTAATGGGGCCTCCCGCTGCAGCCGTGCTGCCGGAGCACAATTTCTGTTCTCATCCTGAAGCAAAGTTCTTAACCCGAGGTAATATTTCTGGGTTAGCGGAGTCTGTAACCTGAAGCGTATCTAACCTGAAGCGTATGTAACCCGAGGTACCACTGTTCTGTGCCTTTCATTTTCTACAGGACACCTGTTTTTGAAAATTGAAGTTAGCTAAAAAAAATAATTTGTGGCAGTGCAAGTAGTTAGCCTTGCCCAGGGTGCAAAATGGCCTGGCCCCAGCAATGGCTACAGCAGCTCATCTTCCTGGGTTGGGACTTGGAAGCACATTTTCCAAAGAGCTGGAAGAGCCTCTGCAGCAGCTCCAGGAAGCTTGCTGTGTTCTGATAACATGTGAACTGATCTGTCATGGCAGGGTTGGACAAGACATGCGGCGAACGAGAACAGTTTACTTTCCAAGCTGAAGAGATACAGGGCAATTTTAAATTTATATTCAAGGGGAAAGAGCCAGAATAGAATGATAAATGGGAGCCTGCTGAGATCTTGGTAGCAGGTAAATGAAAGCGCAGTGTGCTTTGGATCATAGGGATAATGATTTATGATGATCGCAGGACGTTCCCTCCTCCTCTCCCCCAAAGGAAAAGGCAGTCGCAATCTGATAGCCATAGCCACATAAGGCTTCTGTCATAAAGCAGGGAAAATACATAATTTTCCATTCAGTATGTTTTTATGCATGTATCTGCCTGTTCCCGAATGTCAACCCACTCTTTAGGTGCGGAGTCTGTCCTTAATAAAACACAAATGCAGCAAATAAAACACAAATGCAATCAAGACTAATCACCAATTTGAAAGGGACCTCGGAAGTCATCTAGTGCAATGTCTAAAAAGCTTATGGAACTCACTGCTACATTGTGCAGAACTAACCTCTTAATCTTCTTTCAGGTGTTCTTATGTGTACAATGCATGTGTAGAGGAAGGGGGCTCGCTGCTGCTCTATACCTGATCTCCAAAGGTTCATTCAAATATCTGTAGGGAGCCCCTGTGTTTGCATATGTGTTTAGGCTGCATTCTGAAGCATGCAGCCCTCCCCTATTCATTGTACACAGAAGAACACCTGAAAGGGGCTTCATATAACTTTTAAAATATAGGTAAATTCATTGGTAGCTATTAGCTACACTGCATACATCCTCTGTTTCCTGAGTCAGTGTATATGACCCTGAATACCAGATGCTGAAAGCAAATGATGGTGGGGTATTGGCTTTCATGGTCTGCTTGTGCATTTCCTGAAAAACTCAGAGTCTCATGCTCTTATCAACTGAGCTATCCATGTGTTCTTCAACTCTCATGTCTCTTGTTTGCCTGGATGGACAATTGGGAAGGTGTGTAGGAACTGTGCAATAGTAACATCTGTATTTGTGGCTCAACCAGCTTTTGTGTCTGGCCCCAGCAACATCTGACATGCAGCCCTAAGCATACCCTATAACTGAGAAGCCCCTGTGAACGCTGGCTGTATTATAAGGCCTGGCCACCAATTCAGCAGCTGGAGGGTGGAACCCGTAGCTTAGAATGCTAAAGATACTAGATACCAGTTTGAACTCCCTTTGAAAAGGGAAGCAGGGACCAGGCAGTTCATTGACTAAGACCCTGGAGAGACCCTGCCAGCCAGAATAGATGACAAAATTTGTCTAGATAGACAGATTGTCAGAAGCCCTATGGAACAAGTTTGCCATGCAACAAATAAGAGCAAAATGCCAGCAGGCAGACCATATAGACCAGGGCCTTTACGAAGAACAAAATTGGTGGTTGCTGCTTTTGGATGCAGGCCTAAGGATATGAGCTCACATTATATTTCAATGTGCCTCTTTCCATCAGCCCCATTAGCCACTGATTTCCTTCGAGGGCATGAATGAGGAATGAAGGAAAGAGACATTTTAAAAAAGGAACATTTGCCTTTTATTTCCCCCTTGCCGTTGCCACCTGCAAGCTCTGCTATACCATTCTGCTTCTGGTGGTTTGCTTTGAAAATTTACACTTTCCATAGTACTTTCAGAACCGGCAGCAAAGAAATGATTTCTGCAAGGCTGTATTACGGTTTCCTGATTTGGACAGTACTAGAGGCACTTTGAAATGATATCCTGGGAATTCATTAGGATGGATCCCATCTTGAGCTGCCTCCAACTCATCCCCTGAGATCTTAGCCTTCAAGCCTATTTTCTTCTCTCCTTCCTTTATTAGCTCTTGCTGACAATCATTGCAATATTTTCCTAGCGATATTTTCTCACCCATAGAGGAGATTGCTTTCATTTAGATCTCTGGAATATGCAACCTATCTTCACATACAACCTTACCCAACGTGGTGCTTCAGCAGGGTCAAGGCTGGACTAACCATTGTGCTAAGGAATCTATAGAGCGTGCTGTTTTTGGAGGTCCCAGGATGAATCAGCCACTGCGTTAAATAATGAAAAATGGAGGATAAATTTGGCTCAGTTTGACCCTACCCCTTTATATTTCACCACTCTCAGAATCATAGAATTGTAGAGTTGGAAGGGACACACGGATCATCTAAATCTGACCCCCTGCAATGCAGGAATTACAGTTGTAAGAATCCTGGAGATATGGCCATCCAACCTTTGTTTAAAAACCTTCAACCGAGGAGAGTCCACCACTTTCTGAGGAAGTCTGAGTGATTGGGGCTTGGAAGAGTGTACTATATGTGGCAGCCCTTAAACTGTGTAATTTCTTCTCTGCCGAGGTGTCTGGTACCTTGATTATGTAACTTTTGTCATATGCTGAATGTGTACCTCCTGGCCTCTAAGACCTGACCCATATATCTCAGTATTCATCCTAGTCTCTTGACTGTATTTTGTTTTAACTGATTTTAATATTGTATTTTAAAATTACTGTAACCTGCCCTCAGACCTGATGGTGAAGGATGGGTAAGAAATGAATGAATAATAAATGTTGTTGTTGTTGTTGTTTGTTGTTGCACTTCCAGGATCAAAACACATCTATCCATCTCTGAAAATTGCGATACACTAAAAATGTCCATATTATGGGAAAGTGTGCACAAAAATGCAAATGTTAGTGAAAATAACATACAATCATGAATTATATTAAGGAAAATTGTTACTTGTAGAAATGTTCACATTAGATAATGTTACACACAACAATGTGTATCATTAGGAGAAATATGCACTAGAATGCTGATGAATTTTCACAAAGACATTTTTAAAAAGTTTGCAAACTGATGTGGAAATTTGGCAAATTGGACTAAAGACTGGGAAAATAAGAAACAGAGAGAACCAAAATGGACAGTTTCATCCGTCCCTATAAGTAACCTACAGAGTTGGATATCTGTTGAAAGCATGGCCTCCTGCTATTAATCAAATGCCTGGGAATGAAGCTGAGCTCCTATTTTCTTCTAGAAAACTCCCTGCTGTTCAAAACAAACCAGCAGCTCTTCATTATGAAAGGAAGAAGCAATCCCCAGCTGGAAGGACAAGAAAAATATGCACAGACTGGAAAGCATGATGTGCAGAATATGATCTGTAGTGCAAAAATATGGTCAGGAACCATGAATGGAAGGGAATAAAGACTTTTGCTCATGCCCCTTTTTATGCAGTCAAGTAACTGTTGTAGATATAAATTTAGAAACCCCTATTATTATGGACTGGAGCACCCTTGGGCATTTCTTTCTTGTTATTTTTCATTTCTCTTTGGTGCTCTTTCCAGTAATGACACCACATATTCTTTGGTCTGGAGTAACAGTGAGTAGGACTGTGGTTTATATTATCCAAAGGGGGCCAGTATATAGAAAGGCAACATGAGGAAACATAACAAAAGTGTCTTGTCAGGAAATCAAGGAGTATAATGAAGAAAAATAGGACTTGTAGAAAGATGGGCCACTGTTTACTAGCAGCTGAGATCACAGATGAGGGCTGAGAGAAAGCAGTATTTATCCCTGTCTGTGGCAGAAAAACACTCTTCCTCTCAAGAAGCTTGATGTGGCCTCAAAAGCAAGGAGACAAAAGTGAAATTGCAGGCTCCGTGCTGGGGAGACTGTTCCTGCGATGGGATCAGTGTGTGCCCTTGCCAATATGAAGGCCCAAAGAGGGACCAACAAGGTAATAAAAGTGAAAAGGCCAGATGTCTTTGGCCGAAATAACTCAAAACCACTCAGACTTGATTGGATGGACCTGAAGAAAATGAGAGTGGAACAGGAAGTCCTAGGATGCCCATCCTTCTGTGTTCCAAGAGGGCATTACAAGCAAGGATTTATGTCCAAGAGAAAAGCCAGCCAAAGCTTTCGAAAGCCAGACCTGAAGGCTCCAGAAGCCTCCAGAGAGGAGACTGGCGCTGAAGTGGACATTGCAGAGAAATAAATAGGGGCCTACCCATTCACTAAGTGGTAGACTTCGGTTGGTGGAACATTGTTGCATGAGAGAAGACATTACCAGAGATTGTTGTGCAACCGTTAAAGATGGTTGTACACATAGAATTGTAGAGTTGGAAGGAACCTCGAGGGTCATCTAGTCCAACTCCCTGCAATGCAGGAATCTTTTGCCCAATGTAGGGCTTGAACCCACAACCTTAAGATTAAGAGTCTCATGGTCTACCAACTGAGCTAGAAGGCAAAGCTTCCTAATTATGCACTTTCCAAAACAATAGAAGAACCAAAAACACAACTATCATTTAAATTTCTTACTTCTCTGAATTTTGCAATGCACCTCTCTAATGCTGAATGGTGTACAAAAATGTATATATTGGGGTAAAGTGTACATAAAACAGACTACATTAATGAAAAAAACGTGCAAAAATGCATTGGGCAAATGTGCATATTTAAAAATGTATATCGGGCATAATTTGCATTAAAATGCTTATGAATTTTCATGAGGACTTAAGAAAAACCCACAAACTGATGTGGAAGTGTGAACTGAACTTAAGATTGGAAATTTTTCCACATTTTTCAGTGCTGTTCTCCAGCCAAGTAATGTGTACAAAAATGCATACAAGAGGCTCTGTGAGTTTTGGTGTTCCAAAAACAGTTGCTCAGAATATACCTCAGCTATGGAAATCATGCAGGCTTTTATCGCCCATAAGTGAACACTGCTAGGCCGACGCACACCAAATGTCTTTGTGAGGTAGCGAGGGAGAGGTCAGCCTCTGCAAACAGCCACTCTCAGGGGGCAGAGATATTCTGTGCACAAGCACCTCCTGTCTGCCTTGGCAGCCACAGGGCTTGGCTGCTTGACCAAAGAGCCAGTGTGCAGCCAGCAGGATGCTTCTCAACACCCCCACAGGTCATTCAAGGTTGCGGAGTCAAGAGACTTTCCCATCCTATAGGCTGGAAAAACGAAGAAACCCCAAAGTTGGGGTTTCACTAGCTCAGAAAGAGAGCTGAACTCCTGCAAACTAATGCTGTTGCCAAGCATCGGAATTACCCAGTTTGGATTGGAATATGTGAATTTGGCCTAGTTATAATCTGTGCTGGCATTCCAAGAATGGGTCGTTGGTCTTCTCTAAGACTTGAATTACAACCAGATCCAAAGCTTTTTTCTTTTTCTTTTTTTTTTGCTTTTTTTGCAAAATCTCCCCCCAAAATGGAAGTTTTTGAGGAAATTCGCTAAAAAAGCAACACTTCAGATATGGGTTGCCATAGCTGGACATTTTTACCAATTTTGGGACATTCTGCCTGAATGCTATTTCTGACGGATGAATCCAGGATATTTCCAGGAAATTCCGGATGTATGGCAGCCCTATCCTAGTAACTCTTGTCTATTCTGATGTATTTGCAATCTGTTGTAAGATGCTTAGTGTACGTTGGCTAGTAGGTGGGGTCTATATACTACAAATATGTAAAATGCAGAATATTTTTTGGGAGTAGTGATGCTACATTATATGCCCTTCCCACAGGGCAGTCTGCTGAGGAAGTGAATCTCATTGCATTGACTTATTGTAGCAGCTCTGGGTTTTTCTTCCAGTGAAGAAAGACAAGAAGAAATAAGCCTCCAGTATTTTGTATTTTATTTTCAGGTACGGTTTAAACACACGTAGAATTTCATCCCATGCAATCCTGATGCAACGCAGGAAAAGTTGGGCCCCGCTCTCATTTCTGCAAGATTCCATGTATGGCTTAAACATTGCTGACCAGACACCCATTTGAATTATCTTGCCAGAGGGCAAAAACAGGTGAATGAGAATTCATTTCAGGGGGGGCCACTAGGGGCGCATTGGAAGATGGCTGACAATACCATCTCTCCGACTCACACGGGGTAATTAAGAGGCTGTTATGGGAGTAGGCAGCCTCCCTTGTTGCCCCAAGAAAATGGGGAACACTGCCCTTGCCTGCTGTGCCCATAAATCACCCCCTAATTCGAAAGAAGGGGGTGAGGGCACTAGGCAGAATGCCCCCGTGTGGACCTCAGCTCTCCTGGACGCTGTCTCTGATCGCGCACTAGCTGCAGCAATTTGGAATAATTAAATACAAAAGAAGCAAATGCACATATTTCAAGTGAAGAAGGGGAGTGAAGTCTGCTAATTTAAGTGACCTCTGCGAAAGAAGACGGCGAGTTGGAGAAACAGGAACATTTTACGATGAAGATACACCAAAGGCTGGGTATGTTGACAACGGGACTGAATGGGGGGGACGACCTTTTTTACTTTCCTTCTATGTGATTTACAAGAACCCCTCCTCATTAGAATCATTGGTTGAACTGACCCAAGCAGGATGATTAAGGTCTGTGTGGAGATAAACTTTAACCAAAAGTATGCTTTATGGAGATCGAGAAGCAATAAGAGATTTTGGAATGGCGCAGCAATTAATTTGGAGTCGCCATCTTGCCAAAAGATTTATAGCCAGGGGGGGAACGGACTTGTTTTCAGACTGCATTCCTGGTGAATCTCCTCAGAGGTTTTGAGAAAGGAGGCAGATTGGTGAAGATTAATGACGCTAAGACTGTTTTGATGTATGGAAGTGATGTTATATGGAAAACGTCTGGATATGGCTACTGGATAAAAAAAATAATATCCACGCAGGATTACAAACTGTTCTAACCAGCTTGTGGAGATTATCAGAGGTCACAAAGAGAAAGGAAAAATATATGAAAATAACAACAAGAGATGTGGAAAAACAATAAGAAAGGACTGGATAGTACTGTGAACATCATAAGGTTAGATTTGTGGACATTAAAACAGCAGCAAGAAGTAAGAAGTTGATTGGATCCCCTTCGGAACTTGAAATATGGGTACCCCCAACAAAACTTTAAAATTCGGCTGTGCAATTTGGAATTTATGTAATTTGGTTTGATTTGATGTGATTGGTCGGTTAATAAAAAATTATTCTTAAAAAAAAAGAGAATTCATTTCAGGATGCAGCAATTTTCAACATTTCCTGCTATTTTTCCTTTGTAAAGGGGAGATGACTCTCACTTATTCATAGGTGATATCCTTCTCTTTCTTATGACTGCTCCTTTCCCGCTCAGTAATATTTTCTTACTGGGAATAAAATTATGATCAACATTCCCCAGACTAAGTATTTAAAATTAGCAACACAAGCTGTTCTTTTTCTTAAATGTCTTTATTATTGCAAAGAATAACAGTGCCAGCCCTATGCCGATTATTAATACTTAAGAAGGCAATGTTGGCATGCCACTTGGAAGTTTTGCGTAAAATCCTGCCGTTCGAGCTGTGGGTGCCAAGGGATTTGTGGATCTGGGCTATGCACAGGATGGAAAATAGGATCCTCAGTGTTTCATTATTTGGGGCTACTGTAACATTGCTTCTCCACTCCTGCCTCTCCCCCCCCCCACCACTTAAAAATAACACAAAATGTGTCCAGCAAGCAAAAATTCCCAGTGAAGTGAATCGTAAGCTGAGGCAATTTCTTCTGCAACATTATGAAAGCAAGCTGTTGATCAAGGCTTAATTATGCAGCAATGTTGGGTGCTTTTTTTTTACTAGTCCTGTCCAAAAACGATGCTTTAAAGGCTAGTCTCACATCCTCAGAGATGTGAAAAAAGCTAGTATCATTAGGGGCATTTTGCAGAAGAATGTTTTATGGGGAAACTCCCTGCAATCCTCCCATATTTATTTCAATGCATTTATTTCAAGATGGTTGCCTTTAAATGTGGGGCTCGACAAATTATTGGAGGATAAGGCTATCTATCGCTATGAACAGCAATAATTTGTGTTCTACTTCTGGTGTTGGAGGCAGAATGCTTCTGAATACCAGTTTCTGGGAAGAGAGCTGTGGTGCCATTGTCCCGCTTATGGGTTTCTTATCAGCATCTGGTTGGCCACTGTGAGAACAGGATGAATGACTAGATGGGCCTTTCGTCTGATCCAGCAAGGCCTCTCATGGAGCCTCCACATGGTGACGTAAACCGGGGCGGGGGGGGGGAGATTTGTTGCATATTAAACTTGCTTCCTGCTTAATTTTGAAAGACTAAATGGTTTATTGTGGCACACGTGTTAGAAAGAATTAGAAAGGTTATGTCATAATAAATGTCAGGGTTGCACTCCCTCTGAAGGAGCAGGTATGTAATTTCGGGTGCTCCAGGATCCATCTTTGTATTGGTTAGGAAGGAGGTTTACTGGTGGGAGTCAGATTGCAAAAGATCTGGAGAGCACCAAGTTGGCAAAGTTGTTCTAGAGGTTTTTATGATTCCCTGGCAAGCCTTATGGATTCTGCCCTGCCCCCACTCTCTCTCTCTCTCTCTTAATGCCACGCAACCCTGGACATGGCAATATTGAGTTTTCTATTATTCTAGCTGTAGGCCACCAGTAGTTAATGAAAGGGAAAGAACACTCCATTTCCTTAGGTATTGAGGCTTTGAAAATAAATGAAGATTGTGGTGGCAACAAATTTTCAGTGACGTCAGCTACAATTCCAGCTCATCAGTTTGCCAGCAATCGTTAAGTATTTATGTATCTCTTCACCACCTTTTCCAAGTGATTTATAGGTAAGATTCAACTGTTAAATATTTCAGTCACCGGTGCTCATTGCAGGCTGCTTTTGGCAGAGTCAGTCTGAAGATTTCTACACTATATTGATCAAAAGCTTTCAGCATCCAGCAGAGAGACAGGGGAAAGTCTCGACAAGAACAACATAATCTGGAGCTCTGCTGGAATGCAAGCTGATTTAAAAGTTGAGACAACGGGGGAGAAGAATGAAAATGGTTTGTGTTACCGAACAACCATCTCTTGTCTTAATTGTCCCTAGATTAGGCCTGGACAGTTTGTGCCCCACTCACTCCAGTACAATCCATAACTTTGAATGGATGGATCTGTCACTTCTCACTTTTCCAATCTTAAGGTCAGTTTCATCTGATTTTTGCATCATTTTCTGAATTATTATTTTTTAAGTCACCATGAAAATTTATTAGCATTTCAGTGTGCATGCCTCCTGATATGCACATTTCTTTGTATGCCATTTCCCCTAATATTATAATAAAATTTCACTTTGGCATGAAATGTTTATAATTTGATCCATTATAATGTTATTTTCACTAAAATATGCATTTTCATGCACACTTTCCCCTAATATTCACATTTTTGTAGACACCTTTTTTTAGAGAATTTTGAAGAAAAGTTACATTTCAGTTCCCAAATTGCTGAAGGAAGTGTGAAGCAGGCTAACTATAATATAAGCACACGTAATACAAATTGTGAAAAATGAAATAAAAACAAACAACAAAAATAACAACAACTTACATTGAAGCATCACGGTAAAGAGGTTATTGGGTGATCCTGAATTAAGGAGACACAGTATAAAGTATTATTTTTGAAACCAGAAACTACCATAATTAAAGTCAGAAAGGCCACTTTTATCATTGCCATCTGTTGTGAACTTCATATTCCTTTCTTTGCAGAAGGCTACATTTTGAACACGCCTTTTGGATGCTTCTGAAATTGTCCTCATTGAAATTTATTCCTGGATTTTGGAGTTCTGAATTGACTAGCCTTGTATACTAAAGCAGAACCAATACCTTAGGAATCCTCAATTCCTCAATGGCAGTCTCTCTCTCTCTGTGTGTGTGTGTGTGTCTCCATCCCTCTGTTCTTAATGTTTGCACAGAGCCCTGTCTGAGCAATTTCATGCAGCTGTCACTTTCTTTGGCTCCTTCATGCCTTTCCTTCCCAAACTAAAAATGCACAGGCAAGCATTGACAAGGTATTGTGCAAAAGAAAAAGAAAAAACCTTCTTTGGATCATATGCATGATGATACAGAGCTGCTTTTGTCGGCGATCAGCTTAACCCACTGTTGCTCAGTGGGAAAAGTCCTAGCTCAGTGGTAGACCATCTGCTTTACATGCAGAAGGTCCCAGGTTAAATCCTTCCAGTTAGGGACTGGAATGACCCCACCCGAAACCCTGGAGAGCTCCTGTCAGTTAATGTAGACCACACAGATCTATATGGCCCAACAGTCTGACCCAATATAAGGCAGCTTCCTATATCCCTATCTTGATAGGAAGATGTGGCGGAGCACCTGCTTTACAAGGAGACAGTCCCTGATTCAACATCCAGCATCTTCAGGTTGGACTGGAGATCTCCATTGTCTTAAACCCTAGAGAGATGCTGGCAGTCAGTGCAGACCCTCCTGATTTACATGGACCAATGGTCTGACTCTGTTTGAGGCAGCCTCCCATTTTGTTCCTATTTGGAAGAATAGGGCCATAGCAGTGGAACATGTGTTTGGCATGCAGAAGGCCCCAGGTTGAATGCCAACCATCTCCTGTTAGGACTGCTGAACCCTCTTCCAGTCACTGTAGACAATGCTGAACTAGGTGGGCCAGTGGTATTAAGCAGCTACCTATGTAAGGACGCGGGTGGCACTGTGGGTTAAACCACAGAGCCTAGGTCTTGCCGATCAGAAGGTTGGCGGTTCAAATCCCCGCAACGGGGTGAGCTCCCGTTGCTCGGTCCCTGCTCTTGCCAACCTAGCAGTTCGAAAGCACCTCAAAGTGCAAGTAGATAAATAGGTACCGCTCCGGCGGGAAGGTAAACAGCGTATCCGTACGCTGCTCTGGTTCGCCAGAAACTGCTTAGTCATGCTGGCCACATGACCCGGAAGCTGTACGTCGGCTCCCTCGGCCAATAAAGCGAGATGAGCGCCGCAACCCCAGAGTCGACGGCTGGACCTAATGGTCAGGGGTCCCTTTACCTTTACCTTTATGTAAGACTCGGTTGTGGGGGACGGGGGTGGGGTAGGCACCAGCTGTAAACACAAGACTCCACACCTTGTCTGCATTTACCCAAGTAATCCAGTGGAGAGAGGAAAAAAGGTCAAGTGATGAGTTCCTCTCCTCAGTGTCACAGCAGAGGTCTGGAGTGGATAATGATGGCAAGTGGGAAAGAGAGGCCATCTGCTTATTAGCGAGATGCTTTAATATGCTTTCTATATTTAGAAGGCAAGTCATAGTTAATATTTATAAGGCATGCTTTCAATCAGGTGGCTAATTTCCGCTTTCAGGCAGTTGGACACGTTATTACCAAAAGGCAGCTCTAACATGTATACCAGAAGGCAATGTTTGTTTCCTGCTTTAGCAAGAGGCAGGAACAGAATTTACCGTTCCAACCTGCCGTCGTCAACTGGGCTGCCTGAACAATGGGTGATAAAGGAGGGATAAGCAACCTGGTGCCCTAAAGATGTTGTAGAACATCTGGCTCCCATCTGCCTCAGCCAGCAGGGCCAATGGCCAGGGATCATGGGAGTTACAGTCCAGAAACTGCAGGAAAGAACTAGGTTGGGTAAGCTTGGATTAAAGCATTATATCTGGTATGAAAAACTAGTCTTGGTACACACTGAAGACTAAGGGTTGTAGCCGGTGATAGTCCAACTCTGGGCAGACACACTGAAATTAATGTGCATGACTAACTTAGGTCCGTCCATTTCAATGAATCTACTCTGACTAGAACTTACTTGGTGGCCACCCTAACAAATGTATTACGGCAAAAGCTTCTAGCATTTGTTAGTCTTTGAGTTGCTACAAGACACTGCTGCTGTTTTTGCTGCCACAGACTAACCCAACTTCCCTTCTGCAAAATCTTTGGGATGGCCTGCTTTGGTTTTTAATAATTGGGATTTTAAAAGCTTTGTCTTAGGAGCACATACATAGCCACTGTACATGTTGTTCCTCTGCAATTAATACGTACTGTATTTTTTGTGTATAACAAGCCCCCATGTATAACACGCCCCCTATTTTTGGGGACTCAAAATTAAGAAAATGGGGGGGATTGCCCCTGTGTATAAGACTACCCCCCTTTTAACATTATTTTTTTCGTTAAGAAAAACCCCTAGTCTTATACACAGAAAAGTACGGTAACCTCAGTCAACATGTAAACATGACCAGACTGTGTTCTCTGCAGTGCTTGAACAGCCTGGTGTCCTTTCCCCCTTTCTGAAATATAACCAGTGTTGTATCCATCTTCAATGCTGTGAAGGCTGGCTCCCTTTGTGATATTCTGGACCATTTCCCAAAAGTTTCTGCTTTCATTTTATTAAAAATTAAGGTTATAGGCAATGCTTGCGTAGAATGAAATGTGCTCCCGCCTTTCAATGTTCTTTCCAATGAGTTCAAAAATGCTAGGATGACTGACAAGTGTCAAATCCCCATTTTTTGTTTTTTTCCTGTTATTAATATTCAATAGCATTAAATTGGCCAGCCTGCATTTGGGATCTGGATGTCTCACACTGATTCTCTTCACACCCATTTCCATGGATCTGGACTAAAGTCCAGGTGGGGGATTTTGCTTAGCCTAAGGGCCACATTCTTGATTGGGCAACCTTCCAACATGCCAGTGGTTGATGGGGCCAAAGGCAAAAGTGGGTGGGTGATGTAAATATTACATGAAAAGGGGTGTTGGAAGAAGACTTGCATGCAAGGCCCCCTTCCACTTTCAGCCTGCCTGCATTCTCTCTCAGTGCATGAAGAGAGCTGTTAGATTTCCTCAACATAAAAGGCCTGACTAAGGGCTTATTTGTAGCTGGTTCACACATGCAAGTTTATTTTTCCATCACTGTAAAATCTAATGATGGCCAGGAAATTTAATAAAATCATAAAAATAAATAAATGTGAATGGTCCGTTTTTGCTCTAACACCACATATAGAATTCCCATCCTATCAAAAACCATTATTTTAAAGAGTGGAGCCAATCAGATTTCAGCCAAGGAATTCCATCCCTTATGATACCTAGCATGAAATTTGCATATTGAACAACAACTGCATACCGGGTTAACATTTTCATCAACTTATTGACCAAAACCAAAAGATTCTTTTCCTGGTCAGTCACCAGTTCAGACTCCAAGGGTGTGTATGTGAAATTGAGAGTTTTTGTCCCAATGTGCAACAATTCTCTCTCTCTCTCTCTCTCTCTCTCTCTCTCACACACACACACACACACACACACCTCAAACTGTGGGATTATCAAGAAACCTGACCACGTTACTGCTTTCTCCTAACTTCAAATCACCGATGATCAAGTTAAAAAGAACTGGTCCCAAAACTGTCCATAGAGGGCAATTAAAACTGTTGCAGAGTAAAGATTTTGCCCTCGCTCTGAATTAGTTTTGTTTGACCACAGTTTACATAGCCAAATCTCTTTGACTGCATGATAATCTCACTGTTTCCAGCAACAGAAGACCAATGTGAATAAAGAACCTTTATGTGAGCAGGGAGGAAAGTTCTGCTTAATTTAGATGAATGCAAGAGGACTGGTAAGTTTTGCAGCTGCAAAGGCTTTTTGAAGGGTGTTCAAAAACCTCTCTAGAGTGTTTGAAAAAGCACCAGGAAGGGGAATAAACTTCACAGTGTTTCCCTTTATGTACTAAATCTTCTAATTTCCAAGAGAGCTGCAATAAACAAACCTGGTAAGATGTTCAGCTGAATCACATACGTGCTACTTTCCAAACGGATATTGAAATGAGGGGATCTTCAATGCAGACCTAAGAAAATGGAATGCCCGATCGGCTGAGGAAGCAGCTGAGAAATATCCATATCAGAAAACGAGCACCTATTCATTTATTTTAGTCCGTAAAAAATTATATACCACTTGATTGTAAACAAAAAACCTCAAAGTGGCGGCCCTCACCTTAGGCATCCAAAGGAGTAGGTTGTTAGGGATGGCAGCAGATTCTGCTTCAAGCAGATTGCACCCAGCTGCAGACCTGGCAGTCAGAGATGTGTATCTATCTGTTAGTCCTGTTTTATTATCATCATTTCCTATAATGGAAGATGTGGGTGTCGATTCATGGAGAGAACCCCATAAAGTGGACTAGAACAAGCCCAGCAATAAAGTCTATGGTGGAGACACCTAAACTATGGAATGTCGAAAATATTAACCTGGAGACAGAGAGGAAAGAAAAATTGGGATAGCGAGGGGTGGGGATTAGCCTGCTTGAGCCACTAGGAGATTATAGAGCATGTGTGGGAACTTTAGGCCCAGGGGTCCAAATGCAACCACAGGCCTCTCTACCTCACCCCTGGGAGTCATGCATTGCTCACTGGCCTTGCCGTCACTTTCCTCAAGTGCTTTAATCTGGCTAGAATGTGCCCCTTGTACTGCGATGATTCATCTCGCTTGTATGGTTGCGGGATGCAGAGCTGTGGGCATGTTTATGTGAGTTATTTTATTTTATACTACTCGATTTTTGTCAGACCTCTAAGAAGAAATGTTAAAACAGTTAAAAACATGTAAAGATAATTAAAATTAACCGTAAAACACACCAACATCTGTGTGTCTGGATACATCAGGCACCACTTGGGTAGCCTCAAGCTGTGAAGCGGTTTATAAATCTGTAAAATGAAATCATACACCAGGTGATATCTCTGCAGTCATTCAGATATTCTTTCATAACTTTCCATGAAGGAGAGTTTGTTTGCCCTGAAGCCTGACCCTTGGCGTCTGCTCTTGCATATTATGGAGACGGTTGTGGGATTAAGGGTCTGATGATGGGGGATATGACAGGAACAAAGTGACTGAACACTAATATACAAATCGTGGCATTACAAAATCAGTTTGGGAGACAGGTGGGATGTGCGTACACACACACACACACACACACACACACACACAGCCTTCTGGAGAAGGCTTCCCAAGCTAAGCATGCTTTTTAGAAATTTCACGGCATTTGTCTCTCCTTAGATATCCCCTAGGGAACTGCGTCGGCATGGAAACCGTGAGCTCTTATGAATGGTTGACTCTTTGCTTCTTTAAACAGTCATCTGATTCTTTGCTCTCTAGAATGAGGCACATTGCTTTTTTTTGCTTCTTTTGCAAACCTGGTATTTCAGAGGGGGCGGTTAAAAGCATAAATTTTATTTCTTAATTAATCAACATAGGAAACATATTGAAGGTGTGTGTGTAATATCTTGCCTCGCAAGAGACATGTGTGGGAATATTATTGGCAGTAAAACTGCCCTCCCCTTTGTGCATTGCTTGCGTTACATGGGGCAACCAGAATTGCGTATAGTATTCAAAAAACCATAGATTTATATAGCAGAATCATGATATTGGTAGTTTTACTCTTAATTCCTTTCCTAATGATCCCTAATATGGAATTCACCTTTTCCAGCACAGCCAAACACTGGGCCAGTATTTTCTTTGACTGATCTACCACAACCCCCAAACCTCTTTCCTGATCAGTCACCGCTGTGCAGACCCTGATATGTAAAATTAGGAGCGCTTTTTGCCCAGTTTCAGCCAGTTTAATGCCTATTCACCAATTCTCTTTTGTATCAAAAATCTGTCCTGAGCAATCCTCACCACATACAGTTGTGACTGTGGTTTCAGAGGCTTCTGGGGGTTGTGCTAATGTAAAGTAGCCCTCATCCCACATTGTTGCTGACTGTAGAAGTATGATCTAATACAGTAGCAATAGACCACCTTCTCAACCACTACCCAGTAGGGCCATAAGGATCAACAGATAGAACCTAGTTAGTTTTGCAACAGTCTGGTGATTATTGGGCTGTGGTAACACAGAGGTGGGCTTTTTCACCGACAGCATCAGTGTTGTGGAATGCTCTACCTGCTGAAATATGAGAGGCTCCATCAGTATTGGCATTCTGCCAATGAAGACACACCTCTTTAGACAAGCATTCCCCTGATCCACTTGAACCTCCTCTGTTAACTGCTTTAATTGCGGTTTTAACTATTATGCTGGTTTGATTGGCTTGTTTATTGTACATTTTAATTATGGGTGTTTCATTTTAATGTTTTGCTTATTATTTTTATTGTGCATTTTAAATGTGTGTGGCTATATTTTTTCTAATTCGTTTTATACTTGGAAACCACTTAGAAGCCATTTTGGCCAATGAGCAGTATTTATATTACTATATTATATTATATTATATTATATTATATTATATTATAATAATGGGACTTTTGATGGTTCAAGGTATTTCACATATGTTATCTCACAGTCATAGTCCTGTGAGGTAGGTTCCCCCCACCGCAGGTTCCCATATTCTCCACTTCCTGCTGTATTCAAGCCGAAATATGTGTTACTGTACTTTAAAAAATCCATGTTCTTCTCCTGTCTTCGCCTCCTCCATCTCCTTTTCCTTTCTCTGTGTCAGTTTAGATTTGAAACCCCTTGGGACCATGTAAGGGAGGAAGGGCTGTTGTCTTCATGGCCTGCATGGAAACTCCCCAGAGGCACCCTCTTTGCATATTTATGCTTGCACCTTAGGTCTGATCCTCCGGGGCACTTCTTTTGTTGCCTGCTGGATCAGAACAAAGGTCTATCTAGCCCAGCACCTTATTTCACACAGTGGCCAAGCAGATGCCAATCGGAAGCCCGCAATCAGGGCATGGTCCCAATTTCCCCCTCTCCCACGCATATTCTCCAGCAACTGGTATTCAAAGACATACCACTGTTCTTAAGCAGCGTGACTTCTTTCCCCTACAATTCTGAGATGAGGCTGGGAGACAGATTAAAAAGGTAAAGGGACCCCTGACTCTTAGGTCCAGTCGCGGATGACTCTGGGGTTGCAGCGCTCATCTCGCTTTATTGGCCGAGGGAGCTGGCGTACAGCTTCCGGGTCATGTGGCCAGCATGACTAAGCCGCTTCTGGGGAACCAGAGCAGCGCACGGAAACGCCGTTTAGCTTCCCACTGGAGTGGTACCTATTTATCTACTTGCACTCTGACGTGCTTTCGAACTGCTAGGTTGGCAGGAGCAGGGACCGAGCAATGGGAGCTCACCCTGTTGTGGGGATTCGAACCACCAACGTAGGCTCTGTGGTTTAACCCACAGTGCCACCCGTGTCCCGGGAGACAGATTACATCTACCTTAAGAACACAAGAACATTAACAACACAAGAAGAAGAGCCTGCTAGATCAGTTCAATGGCCTATCTAGTCCAGCATCCCGTTCTCACCCTGACAAACCAGATGTTTGTGGGAAACCTGCAAGCAGGATTCGAGCACAAGAGCGCTCTCTCCTCCAGTGGTTTCCAGCAACAGGTACAGTAATTGGAACCATGGCTGCTTCTAACTGTGGAGTCAGAGTACAGCCATTATGGCTAACAGGCATCAATGGACCTCTCCTCCATGAATAGACCTTACTTACTTTATTTATTTATAGTTGCTTGCTGCATTTTTATTTCTTTTTTTGGCCTCAAAGCGACATGCAATTTGAAGGGGAAAGCATGCAATACCATATTAAAACACATTCGAAGATTGAAAACTTTATTAAATAAAAGTGTTACCTGGCTGCATGTTAATGAATACCTTCCTTAGTCACCCTCCTCTAATTGCTAAGCAGTTTGAATGACAAGTATGTGCAAACGAGATCAATGTAATTAAGGTGTGAGCAACGAAGGCAAATCAATATTTGAAGGGCAAACTTGGAGGATAAGGTGGCTAAGGCTGCCCTAATAGCATGTTCTGGAGGCAGAAGGCAAGCACCTTTTGACAACCTAAGTGCATGTAGGGTGGGTTAATGACTGATTTGAGGACTGGGAGGTGGGTGGGTGTCGATGGGTGTTCATTTTAATCATTTGTTCAAGGAGGGTGAGGGTGGAAACCTTTTCAGCCCAAGGACAGCATCACCTTGTGAGCAAACCTATGTTCAAAGGCACTATGTTCAAAGGCATAAGCACTCAAGGATGGTACAAAGCAGCGGCCAGTAAAGAGTGTGTTTGCTAGAGAGGCAGTGTGGTCTGGGGAGAGTTCTAAGGGCCAGATAGTGAGGCCTGGAGGGCCACATTCAACCCCTTGCCTGGAGGTTCCCTATTCCTGCCTTGGAACCATAGGGTGGTATTCAACAGAGTTTATTCGGGATAGACCCATGGAAATTAATGGATATAACTAGGTAAACTCCATTAATTTCCGTGGGTGTGCTTTGAGTAAAGCTTCATTTTTGTCTGCTTTATTGCTGTTGTCAATTTTTTCTTAAAAAACAACCCGTTGATCTATTGTTTTAAGTTATATTGTTAGCTACATTGGACTTGTTGAGGAATGGTAAATCTTTGCATGCTTAAAATAAACAATTTATCTGGGGAGAAATTTGGATGAGGAGCATTTTGGAAGCTCTTCCCCCTACCGTATCTCCTCTTTCAGAGCGTGGTGGGAGGGGGGAGACCTAATGCTGTGCAGTGACAAAATGGGATTTAATAAAAGGTTGCACAGGAAATAAAGGAAATAAGATTATACTAATTCAAACACTGCATAAAGAATGGACCTGCTGCCTTAATTCAGGCAATTTGAATTATTAATGATTCTTTTTCCTTTCTTTCCTCCCTGAATACTCTGTGAATGTTCCCTTGGTAAGACTTCCTCGATGCCTGGATCAGGAAATTGGGGAAATCAGTTTTCTAAAAGGTCAAATGCTAACAGCGAGCAAGATTTGTTCTTTCACACATGGCCTGGTTTCCTTCACTGGCAGAGGCTGGAAATCATAACCTCGCACGTTCTGTACGGAGAGCAAAGGAAAGAATAAGCACCCAATGTCCGTGAGCTACCTTTCTCTGTGCAGAATACAATCATGTAAAATGCAAGGCACTTTCCCCTGAGGGTCAGATTGGCTAATGAAAACCACATATCTTAAAATACAATTCACAAGCAATAGGAGATGAAATACTACATCAGAAAGCTTTAAAAAAAATGCATTCAAAAGCCCGAGAAAACACAGGAGCCAAGCATCATTCCCTGCCTGAGTAAGATCTACAAACTTGGGGCAACACAGGGAGGCCACTGAAAAGGGCATCCCCTGCAATGGTTTCTCTCCATGTCATTGTGACATCATCATAGTGCGCCTTCATCCAAAGCCTTGCTCTCTGGTGTTGCCTGAAGGGCCTTCCCTTGCTGGAAGACTTCAAAGAGAAAGGAGGCAGGCATCTGTTGGGTGTTTCCCATATCTCAGGGATGAGGTCCTTTTCAGCTCAAGGGCCACATTCCCTCTGGGAAAACTTCCCAGAGCCACATGCCAGTGGTGGGTGGGGCTAGAGGCAAAAGTAGGTGGAGCAACACGTGTACATTTAACCTACGGCACACACAAGCACACCCCTCTCTATTAACCATCCTGACTTGCAAGAGGCATTACCAGAGTTCAAGCCAAGGAAAAAGACTTGGGATGTGAAGCAGGGCCAGTGAGGGGTGTGGCCTGGGAAGAGTTCTGAGGGCCAGATAGAGACGCCTAGAGGGCCACAATCAATCTGGGGCCTGAGGTTCCCCATCCCTGCTATAGGGGTTGGACTAGGTATAAAGTCCCTTATAATTTTTTTTCTGTAATTCCCAAACCAGAGCCAATGTTGTCGATTTGAGGCAGGAACACTGGTACCATGTTCTTGTGACATGAGTCACCTTCACATGTTAACTGTATAAAGAGGGTCCATGTAATTAAAAAGAAATACATTCTCCTGAGTCACTGAGATTTCATACCCTACTGACCTCCTCCTATACCACAGACAGGGCCAATCTCCATGCAAGGGCATAAAATGGACCCAATTTAGACATAAAAAATGGCAACATTCAGAATCCAGAGGGATAAAATTTCAGTCACCCAGGATACTCTGCAGTTGGACTCACAGTTACCAAATTCCGACAAAAAATATTTCAAAGGGAGTGTCTACGGTAAAAACTGTTGAATTAGAATTTATCAGCAAGTTTGACTTGATTGCTTAGAGCTCAGTCGAAACCAAGGTTTCCTTTCCCACTACAGATGTGAAATTATTGATTGGATTATGTTGTTGCCAACACTGCAAATTGTCGCTGTGCTTATCTTGGTTTCCTTTGACTTTCCATAGAAACGCCACAGCTTTTGTGCTGGACCACTTCAGCATGAGGGTGGGAGTGGAACTGCACAACCTGAATGCTCCCCTGGAATATAATAGCCCCCTGGACAGACAAAATTAGTATCCCAGGTATGTAAGTTCTAAGGTGAACTAAACAGTAGTCGTAATAATGATGAGCCTGAAGCCCCATGTCATTTCTTCTAGGCTGTTGTAGATCATTTCTAAGGGTACATTTTGAAATTCTGATAAACTATAGAAACAAGTGACTCACCTGAAAAAGACCTGCTACTGTCTTGGGCTCCCTGTTTCAAGATTCATTCAGCCTTTCCTTCTGTAGCATAAGCTTGTTAAAGTTGGGTTCCTTTCCTGAAATAAAATGAATATAATTCAATGTTACTTGTGAAGATTTGGGAATGAGCAAGACGTCTCTCTCCCTCTCTGAGTTACGATCATGCTGGATTATGTCCCAGCATGAAATGTAAAATCATTATGTTATCCATGGCTGTATTTATTTCTCTGCCTGAAAAAAATATGTCTGTGTAACTTGCACAGTTTCCATTTTATTTTGAACACTGCCTCAGCCACATTTCAGTTATTTCTGGAAAACATTGCTAAAACTGTGCATCGCTGTTATTGTTGTTTGGTTTTTTCAATGCTGATTTAATATGCGAGTCTGATTCACATGGGCAAATCTGACATGCATGGAATCAAGGGACGCGCAAGGAGGGAGGAAGAGAGAGAGGAAAAGGAAGAAAGGAAGGTAGGAAGATTCCACAAGGAATTTGTAAGAAAAATTTGCCTACAGTGGACAAACATTAAATAGCCAAGTTCAAAATAAATGCCTTTGACCTATCAAAACCAGAGCATAAGGTTTCTACGATTTATTTTATGAGTTTGTTAAATGATACAAGGATGAAATAATATGTTCCAACTCGAAAAGATAATGCAGAGCTAGAAAAGGACACCCATGTGCCTTATGGCTGGTCAGCATACCTGTCCATAGGCTACACCAGAATTGGATGGAACACTCCGCTAGGGATGAGGGATAAACTGGAGTCGGTTCATATTTAATCTAATTCACACTTTCCAAAACAATGGGGACCAAAACACAGCCAGCCTTTCCAACTCACATTTCTCCAAATGTTGAATGCATTATATTAGGCTAAAGTGCACATAAAATATCATGGAAAAAGACATGATATTAGGCAAACTTGCTTTGCAAAATATGTATATTAGACAAGATTACATTTAAAATGTGCATAGAAGGAGAAATTTGCACTTAAATGCTGATGTGTTTTCATGAGAACTTGAAAAAATACAAACTGATCTAGAAATCTGGAGAAGTGAAGATCTGGAAAGTAAGAAACTGGGAGAAGTCCGCTCACCCTTCCTGGTGGATACGATTGCAGGCCAGCATTCCCCCTGCCCTTTGCAATCCAATGAGGGAGGCCCCAATGCCTACGCCAAATGTCTTACATCTATGGTCAATAAAAGTTGTGGCCTGATTTGACCCAAACACTAGTGTCATGTCTCATTATTCATGGAATTTTGCGAGCCTGTAGGGTGGGGAGACACCTGGGCATGCAGACCACAATGGACAGGTTCACCCACCCTTGCTCTCCACCCTCTCATGCAGGAGTCCCCCCTCCCAAATCCCGCCCTTATGATCACCTACTCCATGCTCGCTTTTGTAAACCAGAGATGCCAAGGATTGCACTGGAGACTTTCTGCAGGTAAACCATATGCTGTGCCACCTAGCCATGTCGTCACCGTATGGGGAGTAAAATCAACAAGAGAAAATTCAGCAACACACATGTTAATAGGGGAACATGTGGGGGATTGTAGTTTTTTTTTTAAAAAAATGAGTTTGTTTATTTTACATTGGCACAACAAAGAACAAGACCCAGTGACTCCATAGTCTCTGCTGGGGGGAGTCTAAGAGTAGGGAATGTAGATGAAATAGTAAAATAACTTGGGAAATGATAATGCAGAAGAAGATTAATATTGAAATATATTTAAATGACTGATGTGGCTTTTTAATAAAATATTAAACTTGCATTTTTTAATCATTCGTAGACTATTCTATATAACTGTGAATTATTGCAGTGTCGTATAACATTCTACTAAACATCTCTGCATATTATTAGCAACAATAAACATATTTTATATAATATAAATATATATATAAAATCATTTAAAAATGGTAAATAGGGGAAATGCATTCTTAAGTGATTCTGATGGCATATACACCAATACATAATCTCATACATAGTTCCCTGGCCTCAACCACAGGGGAATCTTTCCTCCCCACTTTCTCCCAGTGAAAATACACCAGTGCTCCATCCTCGGTTTAATCGATGGGTGTGGAGTTACATCGGTTCCCTTTTCTAATTCTGATATGGCTACAGGCTATAAGAGAGCAGAACCCTCAGGAGTGGCTCCGTCGACTGGCTAAGTGTTAAAGTTTCCCTCCATGGACCAGGTAGAATCAAATCCAAGCGTTATGAGGCAGTAAGGACTGTAAACAGATATTCCCCCTGTTGGTCCAGCAGCAAGAATTGCTATTGATTTTTGTTTTGTTTTGTTTTAGATGAAGAAACTATGTTGATGTGTGAAAATAATCCCCCCTCCCTCCGGTGAATAGTTTCTGCCAAGCTGTTGGAAATTCACTGCACAATTGCCAAGGCTGGTGTCTTTTGGAGGAAGACAGCACCAGAAGTCTTCGTGAAAAGCCACATTTGCACATTTACAGATTGCGATGAGGATGGAAATTGGCTGCAGTCAGCAAGGGGGAATCAAGCTACAGTACATATAGCAGAAGTCACTCACAGCCCCCCAAGTGTTTCTGCCTAGACTCATTCAAGTATCTGAGAAAAAGGCTGCCAAAGCATTTCACCCCAAGTACGGATACACAAACATAGCAGGACTGAAATCAGGACTTGAATGTAGGAAGCTTCCTTATATTATTGTCCCATCTAGCTCAGTACTGTTTACACTGACTGGCAGGGCTCCCCCAGGTTTTTGACAAGGGATCTCTCCCAGCCCTACCTGGAGATACCAGGGATCGAACTTGGGATCTCCTGCTTTCAAAGCTAGATGCTCTCCCATGAAGTTACTGTACTTGATTTGCACACTCCTATAGTAGCAATAACCAGAGAGGAATGCAGGAGATGCTAGGCAGAGAGACATGATTCTGCCTGAGATTGTCCAGGTTCCTCAGCTGGACATTTGCCAGGCAACAAGAGACAGGGGTGGGCGGAGATTTTGTGGGTTTTTCTTGATGAAATCGTTCCATTCCTCACAGGACATTTCAAAGCAAGGGCACACATTCATACACAAGCAGCGAAAAGCTGGAGAATGTAATTTAGTTCTCAAGAGAAAATGCCCTGGATTTCCCAAAGCCTTCTTTGTGAAAGCAAACTACACACCCTTGATTTTTCGTTGGATTAATACTGGAGATTGCAAAAGAAATAGCACCCTTGCTTTTTAAAAAATGGCATTAAGGGTGCTTCCAGAAGACTGTAGGTCTCATGGACTTTTTGTCATCAGAACATATACTGAGTCAGAGCATTGGTCAATCTGGATAATATTGTCAACATCCCTTGGTTCCTGATTCAACCTCCTGCTTGGGTTTCCATACAAACTGCCCATGCTCACAGGTTGGGCCAAGATAAAGATATTCTGGGGAGTGCCAGAGACCAGTTTTATTCTCCACGTGATAAGATGAAGGCATTCTTTGTACAACTGGGTCAAAACAAAAACATTTTCCCTTCCTGCCCCAAACGTGTAGGAAGGATTCCTGTAAGCTGCTGTTCACAATATTTTTGAGGAGCTAGCTGGATGCGTGACCCATCCTTGCCCAGTTACAATTCATTTCAGAGAGCTTGGTCTGGTCATCTATCTAGAACGGGGTGTAGGGATTAAGATGGGGGACAATACTTAAATTCAGAGAGCACGATCAAGATGCTAGTTCTTCTAAGCAGAGCCCCACTGAAAACCACATTTTCGGTGCTTAACTTTGGCTCGACCACATCCAGGTAGCCTAATATGTTTAAATCAAAGTTATTCACATTATTAAATGAAATATAATTTTGATTATTTTTAACTGTTTCCCAAAGCACCAAATCAGGATCCAAAACAAATCTTGTGGTCAGTGCACATCCCTACTGCGGGGCATATCAGCTCAAAGAGTCCATCCTTTCCTGTGTTTTGCTCACTGTTTCCTCTGTGGAGCAAAGTTTGCACAGTTAAAGTTACCTATACATGATAGAAGGACATTGTCCTAACAGGACACAGCAAGAGAGACCACTCTTTGTACATTTCCACTGCATTCCAAATATATATATAAAAAAATCCTAAAAGACACATTTGAGAAGCAGAACGCTGTAGCTGGACAGCCAAATATTTGCATTTTAAAGTTTTTCTCCCTACCCCTAAATTTAGCAACCGGAATGTGCAAGCAGATAAATAAAACAGTGCTCTCCTCAGTAAAATGAAGGAAGCAGCAGTCTCAAGAAATGGGAGGACACGCCAATGGGAGATGTTTAGCAAAAAGTCTCTGCCAATATCAAGGCACAAGCAAAGTGGCTCTAGTTGGTTGTACCTCCTTTATAAGAAAAGTCCAAAATGAAGCTGGTGTTCCATTTAGAACTCGTATAACCCCTATTCTAAAATAGCTGCACCGATTGCCAGTTGGTTTCTATGCCCAATTCAAGGCACTCCCATTAGCATTTAAACCCCAAACAACTTAGGCTCCAAAGAGCTGAAAAATTGCCTCCTTCCCTACAGACCTCCTCGGGTGCAAGGACTGCCAGAGGGGGCCTCTTAGTAGTTCCATTGTCCATTGACAGACTAGAGGTCCATCTAGCTCAGTATTGTCTACACTGACTGGCAGCTGCTCTCCATGGTTTCAGGCAGGGGTCTTTTTCAGCCTTGTCTGGAGATCTTGGGGACTGGATCTGGGAGCTTTTGCTCACAAGGTATGGACTCTATCACTGAGCTAAAAGAAACACATATGCCCCTCTCAGCATCTGCCCTGACAACACAGTTAAACCTGTGATGGGTGGAAACCACTCAGATAAATTTGGAATTTGCTTGGTGATTAAGAGCCAAAAGTTCACATCTTTTCTGAGAGCCATCTCCAGCTGCATAGTGTTGTGAGACTCATTTTGCTCTCCTTGTTGCTGAAACACCTCAATTTTCCAATGAAAATATATAGGGATATGGGAGGAGGAGGAGAGAGAGAGACAGTTACCTAAGTCCTGGACAGTAATTGCAGGTGAAACAGACCCCTGATCTGTCCCACAGATGCATCTCTTTCTCTTTCTCTTTCCCTCCCTCTCTCTCTTTCTCTTTCTCCAGGGAACTGTGCACTCCCTGAACTACTGATACAGGACACAGCTCAGAAAAGGCTTCTGAGCCTTGGGAGTTAGAGAGCTGAGCACATTTCTCTGGAGCATGAAGATATATAAGCTTTAGAAGGCTTTTTCACAGCTGTGTATGAGCAACGACTGTACTTCATGTCCAGGTCTTGGACAATAAATAAATGAAATCTTAAGGGACACCTGAAAAGTCATTGCTGGCATATTTTGCAGAAACATGTTTTTGAAAAGTTAAAGCAAGAGAAGTACTTTGTGGGGAATAAATGCTTGATTCATAATACACTGGAACATAAGAGTTGGACAAATCTGTACTCTGGACCAAGTAATTACAAACATTAGTGGTGAACACCCACCCACCCAGAGGGATAGGTGAATCTGCCCATGTTGGTTTTTCTAAGACAAAAACAAAGGGGGGGGGTCTCATTTTTCCAGTCTTACATTTAGTTCTCCATAATTCCATAATTCATCATTTTAGTGCAAATTTCTCCCAATATAAACATGTTTATGTGACCTTTGCCCAACACACACATTTTTGAAAAGCAATTCCCCAAATAAAATGCATTTGGAGTATGTTGTTTTCACTAATGTATGCATTTATTTTATTTTATTTTATTTTAACGCATTTCTATGCAAAATTTGCCAAAGTGTAACATTCAAAGGATGGTTGTGCTTCCATTTGTATATTGGTTCGGAAAGTGTGAATTAAGAAAATTTGCCTCTAAATAAGAACTGAATAAGATCTCTCTCCCATCCCAACCTACCACAGGAGGTATTGGGGATTTGGGGGATTGGCAAATTCAAATAACTTTTGCTGTGAGGGTAGGCTTCCCCTAGGGATGCGGGTGGCGCTGTGGTCTAAACCACTGAGCCTAGGGCTTGCTGATTGGAAGGTCAGCGGTTCAAATCCCTGCAACAGGGTGAGCTCCTGTTGCTCGGTCCCAGCTCCTGCCAACCTAGCAGTTCAAAAGCACGCCCAAAAAAGTGCAAGTAGATAAATAGGTACTGCTCTGGCGGGAAGGTAAATGGCATTTCCATGCGCTGCTCTGGTTTCGCCAGAAGCGGTTTAGTCATGCTGGCCACATGACCTGGAAAAACTGTCTGCAGACAAACATTGGCTCCCTCGGCCAGTAAAACGAGATGAGCGTTGCAACCCCAGAGTCGTTCGCGACTGGACTTAACTGTCAGGGGTCCTTTACCTTTACCTTTTTAGGCTTCCCTTAAATATAAAAAGGTTTTTTTGTTTTTCATTTTGCATGGGGTGGAATAAAATAAAAGCTTTGGCACCACTTCAGGCACCAGTAGCCCTGTTGTGTTTCTTTTGTAATTTGGAAGAGTATAATCCATGAGATGACACTGTGCTGTGGTGTAGCATTTGCTGCCTCCATTGGCCTGTTGTTGTTGTTGTTTAAAAAAACAAACCCTCAAACACTTTGTCTTTAAGGTAAATCCACCACCTCCACATGTCTCTTCTTTAAGGTAAATCTACCTACCTGAAAAATCTTAGATTGCATCATGCTACCCTCTGAAAGTAATGGAGGAGTCTTGGTCAGATACTGGAGTCCATTAACCCAGGGTGGAATTCTAGTCCTACTCAGAGCAGACACATTGATGGTCAGGACCAACTTAGTTTCATTAACAGCAATGAGTCTACTCTGAAAAGCACTTAGCTGACTAGAACCCCCAGACTCCAATATTGTCCCTACGGGGACAGTCTTTAAAAACAAGCATGGTACAGTTGATACAATGCCAGATACAGTGACTAAGGAGACCCAGTTTCAAATCATGCAGGTATAACATTCTCTAGGTCAGGTGTAGCCAACGTAGCACCTTCCAGATGTTTTGGACTACAACTCTCATCAGCCTCAGCTGGCATGGTCAACAGGCAGAGATGACTGAAGTTACAGCCCACATAGAGGGCACCAGACTGGCTGCCCATGCACTAGGTGCTCCTTAGGCAAGTCACCGTCTTTAGGATAGTTGTGAGGATCATATAGGAGGGGAAGAGCATCCTGAGCTCCTGAGGGGGAAGGGCGGTTTATATATAAATACATTATTAAATATTGGAAGCATCTTACGTATGATATAATACCCTTATGCCACTAGTGTAGGGGAGGCTTGCTTTTGCAAATTGCATTATAGATGCAGCAAATAGGCTGACAGAAGGTGATTCTTTCTATTTTTGATGGCCACTAGGGATGTTGGAGAATTCCATTAGAAATGAAAATGGGAGTGGAAAATGCTGCAATTTGCATGTTTGTTGGAGGTTAGGAATGGAAATCATGGTAGCGAATGCAAAATAGTATTTGCTATCCTTTCTTTAGTCTGCAAATGCTCCTTAAATAGGTTTTTTGGGGGCATTGCTTTTAATGTTTTTCTTCCATGGAGATGCATTGAAATCAATTACATTATTGATTACATAATTAATTTAGTGAGTTTCAGTCATAGTGGATCGCAAGATGAACAATACAGGTTTTAGTAAAAGCTGAATTATGGCAGAGCAGAGGCAGCACTGAATGTGACAAGCCCAGAACAGGACCGAAATGGCCATCTACCAGCAGCTGCAGA